GAGCCCGGCCAGCGGATAGCGGCGAGACAGGTACCGTGGGAGCTCCGCTCTCGGGCACTTTATGGCGCTATTGTATCAATCCAGCTCCGGGACAGCTAATCAGATGTCTGGAAGTGTTGCACGAATCCGGGTGCTGGCATCGTGGTGCAGGCATGATACGGGCGTGCTTTACAGAGGTCGCATAATACAGGAGTTAACAGCAAAGCAATCTTTAAGAAAGGCTTTGGAGCGACGTGGATGGCGAGCGTTGACACTGAACTTTTCCCCCCTGCCTGCACATTTCCAGCATTTCCACCCACTGCCCGTTTAGACAATTCACCGTTACTAGCAGGTTATTAACGCTGCTGTCGTCTTCGTGGACTGCTTGCTCTCAGATTCAGGTAACTGCTGCAAATAGTGTATTTACTTCCAAACCCGAATTTCAAGAGCACAGTGCATCAGTATGGGAAGTGGGGACAGTATGCGTTACCTTCAGCCGAGAAGTTGTAACTGGAGGCCTCTAACGTTCCTGAGTTAGATTACTAGGTCATTAAAGGTCTATGGCCCGCTTATAGTTTATTAATCTCACTCTCCTAGCACAGTCCCAGCAAAGTCGGATGGGTATTGAGGGTTTTGAAATGCACGTAATCGAATTACAGTGCTCAGATGGATGGAACTCAAAGTTCACACCTAAGGCTACAGAAAACGAGCACAGCCTCTCTGTCATGACCTGTTGCAAGTCCCTGGCAGTGAAACTGGACTGCCTGAGGAAAGCAGCATTTTCAGCGCTCTCAGCACCTGGACCAACGTACTGTACCTCCGTGAACAGGCTTTGTCCCTCCTGCAGCTGGTTCACAAGTGAGCACCCGGAGGCTTGCGTGCTGCTTCAACTGACAAGCTATGAGCCCGAGACGGATGAGACAGGCAAGGGAAAGCAAGGGCAAGGATCAAGATGTTCATATTAACCTATTAACGTTATATATTATTTTTTATGAATCAAAATGTAAGTAGAGCTATTATTGACTTAAAAAAAAGTATAGACGGCATGCAAACCCGTAAAAAGAAGTGCCTGGGCCGACTCCTTCCCAAAGGGCTCTAGCTCCCAGTAGACCCCACTGGCAGGGAGCAGCAGTGAGACGCGCAGCCTCACAGGGAGACCCCCGAGCGCGCGGATGATGGGCCCCGTTAGGGGGCCGATTTCAGCAGCAACCCCAGAGGGGCCAGGGCATTCTGGGCCTCGCAGTGACACACATGGGGCCTTTACTCATGGCCAATAACTTTCTCACCTGAAGTCTCCCTACGAGACTTACAGTACAAACTATGACTCTCTACTAACACAGCGTCTTGCAGCGGCGCTGTAATAACCTGAAGCCTCAGAATGTCCAATCCCTTGCTGGACTGCTGCTGAAACCTGTGACTAAAGGGCTTACATTTCCTCTTGCTCATTTTTCAAGTCTCTGAAGATTTTTCCAGTGAAGGTTCAAAGTCATGCAGGATAACGTACTCCAAAAAAACATCCTTTAATTACACAGGAGAGGCTTTAGAAGCATTTTTGTTGTGTACAAACTGTAAAAAATCAAACTAATATTTGCCTTAAATATAAAATTAAAGTATCTACTGTACATACGATAGTGTTTGTTCCCCCTGTTTGAGAAAACCTCGATTATTTGAGATAATAGACTTTAGCATGAACTGTCTCAAAATCAAAATGACTAATTCAGAGAAAAATCTCTTGATAATCTATTTTAAGTAACTGCTTAGTCTGGTCCAGTGTAGGGTCGCAGTGAGTCAGAGTTTAATCCTACAGGCAGTAGATATGCGGCAGGATACACCCTCGATTGGGTGCCAGTCTGTCACTGGGTGTTCACACAGGAATGGGACCAAGGGAATTCAGAGGCACCAATGAACCCAGACAGCATGTCGTTGGATTGCGGGAGCACATGGAGAACATGCAAACCCCCCACAGAAAGATTCCTGGTCTAGAATCACAATCAAAAACCCAAGAGCTGTGAGGCAGTGGCATTAAATGCCTTGTCACCATTCTGCTTGAAATCACTCATGTTCAATTAAGTAAAAAATCACCTTACTTTTTAAGATCAGAGAAGAAAAGTATTATGAAACACAGGGAGTAGCTGTTAAAAATTCTACAGCATAACAGAAAATCTTACAGGGTACACGTTTTAGTAGTACAACCAATTTAATCTTGTTAAAAAATGCCTGCTATTGAGAAAAATATAACTCCATTCTCGTCAGATAAAAGAGCTCTTCCCAGAATTCTCTGGTGTGAAGGTGCTAGGTGGCATGTCACATGACCTGATGACATAATATTATCGTATGAAAGAGATCTGTTAGTGTCAATAGCTCCAGTGATCACCCCACCTTCAGAAAGAGTGTTAATCTTTCTTGAGCGACCTCTTGAAATGGAGTAATCCTGATATAAAAGCCCAAGAGCACCTCCTACTGAAGAGATGTTTCCATCTGGTTCTGCCCTCCAGAGCCCAGCCATATTAAATTTGAGCAGCCTAGATGCAGCACAACCACACACAGTACGTAATGTCCTGGGGCCTGTGTGTTCCGCAGGGCCTGACGTGCACACCCCCACAGACAGCTGATGTCTCCCTGTGGAGGTGGAGTTTGGGACATGTGATTTGGGGATGCTCATTCTAATGTGGCAGGGCCCCACGCCCCGAGGTCGTGTCGGGGAGATCCGGGCGCAGGTCGGCGCGCTGGGCGAGCTCCTCTCCTAACTGTCCTTCTTGTGGCGGGGGGCTCTCAGGCTCCTGGCCATGCTCAGGACGTCCAGGTGCAGGTTGCGTCGGAGGACAGCAGAGCCGCAGGTGAGTGCTCCTGCCAGGGCGCCAGCAAACCCGCACACAAACACGTCCTGACCTGCAGAACAGCCCGCCAGAACATCAGTGGAATCCCCCGCACGAGACGCTCGCTCTCAGAGGCTCAACAGAGACCTGCCGAGGCGCTCCGCTTTAATCCGGCCCTAGTGCCGGGCGCAGTAGGCTGAGTGGCTGATTGGACATCCTGGAAGCCCAGCGCGGAGCTCCAGGACTCTGGCTCTGCGGTCACCTCACTCTGCGCTCTGAACTCGCCGGCGCTGCGTCTAGGCCAGCAACACTGGCGTGTCGGTACCTGCTGCCCAGTGAGAACATAAGACTGGCCGCTCTCATTTGTGATATTTCGACCCATTTAGCCCATTTGGCAGTTTCTAACTCACTGATCTGAGGCAGAAACCAGGCTATTAACAACATGGCTGGGCAGCTCGTTCCAGACTCCCCAGAAATACTGTTACTGCGACTTAAGAAGCCTATAAACATTCTTAATTGCTCCATTAACAAAAGCAATAATAATAAATCATCATCATCATCATAATAATAATATAAAAGTGCATCACTACATCATCAATTTGAATGTCCTCAAATGCATTTTTCTGTATTTTAAAATGTTGTTTATGTTGCGGTTATTATATACCCCATGGTGAAAAATACTGTTAAGCCATTATGAAACACTGTAAAATCCTGTAATAAATATTAACACACATCCTTACAATATCATATTGCAGATTTTATATGTAAGCCTGTAATCACTCTACAATTTCCATTACCCTGAAGCATGTGTGGTAAGAGTGCCACAGACATTTATCTAACCTTTACATCCTTGTGAATACTTACAGCTTAACAGGATGGCAAATGTAGGTAGTTACACA